TGTTAGATCACCGTTAAAGCTGTAATTCACAATACTGCACCTTGGTTCCATCATTTTTTACAGATAATACACATACTGTCTATATATCTGGAAATTTTTACTTTGATTTTAATTGTACTGAATTAGAATTTCGCAAAAAAAATTAGATCACCCATATAATTACATGCCAAATTTAATAATACATGACACAGTCTTATTTAGTAAAAATTAAATCACAGCACAATTTTAAAACACAAAAATTTTCTACCACACTAATTTCCTGATCTACGGTATAACCATTATACTATAATTATTCAGAGTCTAAAATAACAGTCAGACATCAGATATTGTTGAATTATTTGACCAAATTTGTGTTGTTCTACCATTTTTTGTCTGAACAACATAATTTTTGAAATAAATTTACAAATTCCAATTATTCCATACTAACCACAAGAAATTGTCCCACGCAACTTAACCACGAATCTGAGGCTAGACTGAGTAGACTCGGCTATATCCAACATAGATCCCAAGGACCCAAACAGAGCCAAACTGAGGTTTATAATAACTCGTGCCTAAACTGTTCCTTGACTGGCTTGACTTCAGAGCTTGATTAAGGCCTCTTTTGATCCCGCCTAAAGTAAAGCAAGTTAAGCAGCTAGGTCTTTGCTGTTCAGTGTTAGTCTTGTTCTGAGGCCAGACCTGGCCTTGGGGTATCTTCTTTATGGCCACTAGTCAAATTTGTTTAGGTACACTGAGTTGATGATTGATGATGTGAAATCCGCCATTTTGTTTTTGTTTTGTAGGTGTTGATGATCTTGTTGATGTTCTTGATTTGTTAAAGAGATTTGGCTTTCCAGAAACAAAATGGCACGAGCTTGGACTGAGACTAGGACTAAGGAAGAATACACTGGACGTCATTGAAGCAAAGCATCGTGGTGATGTGCCTCGCTGTATGACAGAGTGCCTCTCCCAATGGTTAGGTAGAGCTGATAATGTTGACAGTAGAGGAGGAGCCAACTTGAACTCACTGTCAGATGCTCTACGATCTATGAATGAAACTGCTGTAGCTGAGAAGTTAAGTGAGTCAACCATAACTGTATGTAACTATAATCATTGTATTTTCTACCATAGAACATCAGGCTCTTATTAATATTTTCAATAATTGTCCGCATACTGTCCTGTCTCAGTTTCTTTGTGATTCTGTTAGTATTGCTTGGTTACTTTATGCTGAGTGTATGTTAACACAAGAAGCAGTTAGTAGAGTGGTGTCAGCTGGTCCCTCTATTCCTAATCAACGTGAGGCTCTATTAACTGCTGTCAAAGAAGCTGTTCAAACTGATCCCAACAGTTTACATACATTTGCTAATGTATTGTGTACAATCAGTACTAATGTATCACTGGGACAAACTATACTGGATGATATTAGTGAGTTTGATAATGTAATCACTGCATCTTTTAAAATGTGTTGTCAAAGGCCACTCTAATTAATTCATAGTTGATTGCTGATGTGTGGGTGGCCAGTATTATTCACTATTGTTAATATAAATTATGTGTTTAGTCAACCAGTATGAGATGATATGTACATGTACATGTGTTGGTGGGAAACAGGAATGTACATGTACATGTAGTCTATTTACTATTTAGTATATCTTAACTATTAACAATTTTTTGTTTATTATTATCTTTTTAGGTAAATATTTTCCTACTCCTGAAGTGGGTGTGATTCCTAAGACTTTAAAAGATAATACAAGTATTGCTGATAAAACCAAGACAACACAATCTGGTACCGGTATGTAGTAAAAATAGGTAATAATTATTACTTCCTTATTTATTTTGTTTTTATCATGTAGACACATCTCCTTCAGTTACAAGTAACTTATCTTCACAACCTTTATCACCTCAAGGTATACACCTTTGACATACTATAGAATTAATGAAAGATACATTTTACTGTAGCTGAAGTACATGTTCCTGTTTCGAAAAAGTTACGGGGGGACTTTAGATCAATGAGAATGTCTTTTGGAAGAATGATTTACAATGTTAAAAAGATTATTAAGCAAAAATCTCCTCCTTTAGAAGAAATGAAGGAACTAATTTTGTGTTGTAGTACAGATCTTAGACAAAAAGCAGAGCAATGTACTGATATTTCTAGTATCCTACATCTAATTCAAAATGAGTGTTCACTGACAGATATTGCACTCCTTCATAGTGTAGTGGAAGAAATGAACATCACTGAAGCAAATGAACACATTAAAGCATATAAAACAGAGTTAAAGGGATTCTGCAAGTCACTCTCAATCAGTCTTTGTTGAAGGAAAGATTCGCTTCAAT